CTTTAATCCCAGGACTCTAGAGACAAAGGTAGGTAAGTGGATCTCTATGAGTTCAAGGCCAGTCTGATCTACAAAGTGAGTTAGTTCCAGGACAGCCAGAGCTGTTACACAGACAAACTATGTCACAAGAAACCAAAGAGAGAGGGAAATAAACGCACAAGGGGTATACACACACACACACACACACACACACACACACACACACACACACACACACACACGGGAAGGAGGGAGAGAAGGAGAGAGGGAGGGAGAGAATTAAAGACTTCCAAAGTATCTTTATTTGCAGGTGATATGATAATATACATAAGTGAACCTAAAAATTCTAGCTTGAAACTTCTATAGCTGATAAACACTTTAAGCAAACTGTCACATTACAAAATTAATAATCAGGGCATATTTTTATTTTTTATTCTTACAGATCCTTTGAGTAAATGTTATGGCTTCTTGCTTTGTGATTTTATGGGATTCTTGTATATGTGAACCTGTATATCTTTGTGTCTAATATGTGCTTCTCCTGCCTTTTCTTTGGCTCTTGTTCATCTGTTTGCTTGTTTTCACCTATTCTGAGTTTTGATTCTGTTTTATCTTATCTAATTTTATTTTATTCCTCAGGTATCTGTTTGTTTTCTAAGGAGAGACAGAAAGGATGTGAATCCAGATAGAGGGGAGATGGGCAGGAACTGGGAGGAATTGGACAATAGGAAACTGTAATCAGAATAAAGTACATGAACAAAAAGGTCAACTGTTAATAAAAGAAAAAATTAAATTAAACAGACTTCAAACAGAATGCAAATTACTGTTACTATCCGAAGGCTGGTATGAGCTTTAATTAAGAGGACATTCTTTTGAAATGTATGTGCATATAGTATATGAATGCATGTACATATATGTGGGTAGGCTTACCTATATGAGCAAGGTCTCTTACTGAACCTGCAACATTCCCTTTAGGATAGACTGGCTAGCCAGCAAGCCACAGTTGTCAACAGCTCTGGCCCCTCATCACTGGGACAATAGTAAAACAGCATTTATTACATCAAGCTTTTATGTAGGTGTTGATGATTCAAATTCACGTCCTTTGCCTACTGATCCATCTCCTCAGCCCAGAAGGCATTCATTTTTCTGAATCAGTGAGGCTGAGAGAAGTGAAATGATTATATGCAAACATTTTGACTTTGAACATTTCTCTTCAAGAATCAGAATTAGTAGAAAAAATTCAAAATATGGTAAATGATACTAAAAATGCATTTAGTTGTTGTTAAATTTTATTCCTCCCCTGGATTCCAATCTGTGTTCTGTGTTAGTTTAGTAAGAAGACTCAGTTGATAAAGAGTAGATAGAGTAAACAAAATTCACACCAACAAAGGCTGAATATGGGTGAAACATATTATTGTGTATTCAATAATTCAAAGTATTTTTATCCTTATCAATTATTATTTTAAATATTTCAGTTCTAAACATTTGGAAACAAAAACTATCCCTAACTTCATTTCTTTAAATCTTGGCAGTGTGGTATAAAATTAGATTTAGCAGCAACAGAATTAACACACATAAGAATTCATAGAGACTGAGGCAGCATGTTCAGAGTATGCACAGGGCTACTGCAGGTCCTAGAGCTGAAAGGAAAAGTGGACACATGCCCCCATCTTTAACCCAGAATTAATCTCTGATTGACACCCACTTGCAGATGAAAATTTACTTCAAGGGAGTCTCAATGGGGAAACAAACTGCTCCTAAGGAAAGGCTACATGCCCAGCAGCAGTTGAGGGCTGACAGAAAACAAACTCAATGGGATCATGGAAGATTCCTTGTCTCATAATGTCACATGGATCTCTGCATCTTATCTGTTACTTGTGCCTTTTCTTGGGTTCCTTTCCTTCTGTTTGTTTTGTCCTATTCCAATGTGTTAGTTTTGTTCTACCTTATTTAATTTTATTATTATCTTTTAGAAGCATGTTTGTTTTCCAGTAACAGACAGAATGGGGGCAGATCCAGATGGTAGGGAAGGCGGGGAGAAACTGAGAGAAGTAGAGGGAGGGGAAATTGTAATCAAGATATATTATGTTTGAAAAAATCCATAGTCGTAGAACCTGTTTTAGGAGAGTCTTTGTAAGTACACTTGGTGCCCAGGATGAAAGACCATTGAATCAAAATGATGGGTCCTCTAAATACTACTGTGTTTCAAATCTTAGTCACCTTCACTGAAACCTTGCCTTTCAAATACCTCTCTTCTCTTAAATGTTTATTTGATTTGAAAGAAACCATTCTCTTCTTTAAAAATTTTTAAATTGTCTTGAGAATTGTTTTGCTGTATCTAAAACATTCAAGACCTGTGCAACTTCATCCTTTCATTGACAGAATATAAAATCTTTAAAAACTTAAAAGTTAGTCTTTTATAACTTGTCCAAAAGTTTATTATTTTTTCTTTTCATGCTATAGCATCTTGGACTTATCTACTTTTCATGCTTGTTACACAATTTCCCTGAACTCTTTGCTATTAATTAATTCCGACACATACTTCTGTTGGTAGAGCCAAAGGAACTGAGTAAAAAATAGCTGTACACCAATATTCACAGAAGCACTGCTGCTAGTAGTCAGAAGGCAGAAACAACTCAAGTGCTTACTCAACAATTGAACAGTATACAAAGGATGGAAAAGTGGAATGGACTTCTGATACATGCTACTTCATGGAAGCTTAAGAACCTTATGTTAAGTGAAACAAGACAGAAGACAAAACGATTTGTGTTTCCATTTTGAAGTACTTAGAATAGGCAAATTGATAAAACAGAAAATAAAATTTGCCAGGGGCTAGAGATGGAATATCAGAAATATATATCTTATTTTGTGTGATTCTGTAACAGTGGTAATGATTATATAAATGCAACTGAAAATACTAATACTAATGATTTTTATACTTAAATGGTAAATTTCAAGCAATACATTTCTTCCCTGCCCCCCTTTCTGAGACAGGTTCTCATTGTGTAGCTCTCTCTTGGCCTGGTCTAGAACTCAGTATGTAGACCAGACTGACTTCGAACACAGATAATCTGCCTCTGCCTCCCAAAAGCTAGGATTAAGGACATGCACCAGAAGGCTAGGAAATTATTTTGGCATTCCTAATATAACCTTTTTCTTCATACTAATTTTCTTTATTATGACAGAATTCTTAAAAATATCCTGTCAATACTTATTCCCAACAGTTTCAAGGTTTTTCCCTATCTCACTTGCTTTAATGGCATAAAATAAAATTGAATATGGATACTTATCATTTGTCACATTTCAAGCAAAAAGATATTGTAAATGTAAAGGACATTTAAAATTTATACATACACATGTGCATGCACTTGTAAACATCCCACTTTACATATTTTCTTAGACTTGCAAATTCTACAAAATTCTCTGCTTCTCCTATTTGGTTTTTCTTGTCAACATAAGACTACAAACTATTTTCAAATAGTTCAAAATATTTTTTAGATGCCAAGCATTCTGTAAACAATTGAAAACGTAAATTTCAAAACTCTACTCAAAGAAAAGGTATAAAGGAGGGAAAGATGGATACATCAAAAGGATCTCTAAATTGCTGGTTCTAAGTAGGTTTTGGGGAGGCTAAGAAATTATATTCTCCAAGGAAAAAGTGGAGCAGAGCTGAAAGCTACTCTAATCTGAACTATAAAGAAACAGAAAATAATACATTTAATATTTTTAAAGTTTTAAAAAATTCTTCTGACCTAACTTAAAAGATAAAATTGAAATGTTATGTTGCAATCTTTGAGAAATTAAGCAAAATAAATTAAATAAATTTTGAATATGGAAAATTACTGAAAGATCCCACACACAAGAAAACAATATGTCTAACATGTGATGTTGAAAGGTAACTGAGGCAAGGATGATGCATGTTTTAAAAATATCTTTAAAAAAGAGACAAATGATGATTCTATTAAAAAGAAAAAATAACAGGTGGTAGTTGAGTTTTGAATCAGTTTAGGAGTAAACTGAACTGGGCTGTTAAATAACAAAGCATTTTCCTATTTTTAAGACATGTTTGGACAATACATAGGCAAAATTTTCCTTGGAAGTAACATCTGATCAGGGTTAGAGATAACAGGAGAACAATGGCAGTGATTCATTAGATGCAGAGAAATATAAAGGAGGCAGTATGAGCAAACCAGCAAGTCACAAATTCACTGGAGATGAAAGCCATGACTCAAATAAAATAATGGTACAGCCAATGGGAGAAAATAGGAAGATGAGGCAATAGTCAGGCAAAGTAATCAGCAGTCCAATCCAGTGGCACAAGGCAATTGGAGTAGAAGTTCTAAAAAAAAAAAAAATTGTACCTAAGTAACAATATTATAAGCATACTGAAAAGGGTAAAACAGGCAGGCAGATGGAGAACTTAGTAGGCCACTGTATAAGGAAACGGGGAAACGGCAGGGGGGCAGATAGACAATGCTGGGCAGTCTAAAATGCTAAAATAGCAGATGGATATGAAGGTACCAGGGCATTTGCTGATGAGTAAAGCACCAATGACTGAAGAACACAAATTGTTCAGCAGATGAAATTAGGCAAAAAGTAGAGAAAATCCAAAGGCAATCAAGCAGGAAGACAGGACAGAAGAGAAGCAATGGCAGACCATCAGAAGCAATAGAGTAAGGTAATGACAAGCTGTCAGCAGGGGAACAAAACACCATTCAGGAAAAGATGCAACCTAGGAGTGAAAACAGTCCCTGAATTGGGTGTCTTCCATCTAGGAAATAATTCATAAACTGCGTATGAGAATCCACAAGAGAATAGCACACAAATGGAAACAGCAGATGGATCTGAACTTTATTGCCCAGGGATACAGAATGACCCTAGAACATAGATACATAACAATCCACAAGGAAATTAAATAGATGGGAAAAATGGGTCCAAGCATTTTTTTATGATGGTAAAATAAACCAAAACACTAAAAAGTATTAATCTGGAAATGATTGGCTGGGATTGAAGTCTTCGCTTACCCCTTTCTGGAGCCCACAAAATGGGAATGTTGGGAATTTCTGCAGCAGAAAAACAGAAGAGAAAAGGGATTTCTGATTCCCAGTTTGAGGAAAGCAGGTCAAATTTAGGGCTCTATGAACTGGTTCAGGGAAAGAAGAACCAGCCTGAACCTTCTCTTCCTCAGAATCAAACCATTTCTGAGGTCTGAGAAAGGTTTAGGAAGCCCTCACCCCATCATTCCCCACAACCTCCCCTTTCACACTTACCTCCAGTGCAAACAGTTTCCAGCAAGGAGGTACTTGGGAAAATTCACATCAAGGCAAAATTTGAGGATGATGAACTAATAGTATTTTCCTGTTCAAGATTCTGACTCAGTGGGATTCCTTCCATTCTTTCTGAGTAAGCAGAGGGGATAATTTCTAGAAACTACCTACCTTTTAAAAAGTGGATTAGGAAAAAATAACATCAGGGGGCAGTAATATGAATAATACACATTGATTCTAGCTAATACCTTGGTTATCTCACCAATTGTCATGGATTTTAATTTATATCAAAGATTCAAAAATTTTGCAGACATTTGCTTTGAGCTCCAAGGCAGTTCATATTTCTGTGACTGAAGTAAAGGCCCAATTTAATTCCCCAGATCTACCTTTCCTTCAATGTACTTCATTTGAATTGTGAAATTAAATGGAATTTCACAATTCATTCCTCAAAACATGAAAGTCAAATCCTGCCTCTTCCTCTTGACTTCTCTCACTCTTACTCCATTTGTTACTTCTTTCAAAGTATATCAACTAGCTCAGCATGGTGGCTGATGCTTTTAATTCTAGCACTTGAGAGGGAGGCCAAGGCAGGAGAATCATGTGTTTATGGAGAGTCAGGGCAACACTTGTCTCAAAACTAACTCCTCTCTCATCCTCTCCCCTCTTTTCCTCTCCTCTCTAGTCCTTTGATACCTTTCTTCTTCCTTCCTTTTTACTACAATTTGAACCATTCTCATTTTTTCACCTACACTATGTTAATTGCCTCCCAAGTGGTTTCTTGTTAACATACAAGGGAGTCATCCTATACCTCTATTCTATTACACTAAAGAGACATAATCATTTTACATGTTTCATTCCTCTTTCCTTCTTTAGGTCACTGCTTAAACATCATCTTCCTTAATGAATGGTCTATTTTAATTACAATGATTTTTCCTGTCCAGACTAACAATCATCTTTCCTGGGTTTATTTTGAACTATAGAACTTATCTCTAATATTATACACTACTTATTTTCTTAGGTTTACGCTTCATCTTTAAGAGTCTTTATATAAGATATTTTGATAAATTTATTGTAAAATTTTTGTATCTTTATGGTAAATTTCATGGAGAACTTTAACCAACTTTAAAATATTTATTTATGTTGGATGTGTGTGTGTGTGTGTGTGTGTGTGTGTGTGTGTGTACATGTGTGCCTTTTCCCTCTGAGCCACTTAACTGGCCCAACATAGAGAACATCTGTTCTGGATCCTCAACATCTTGAACAGCACATGAATATATAATGTATATTATACACTCAAGTTGAAGAAGCATAAATTACTTGGAGGGTTGTTTTTCTTTGTTTTATTTTGTTTGAGACAGTGTGTCTCTGTGTAACAGCCCTGGATAGCCTTGAACTCACAGAGATCCTCCTGCCTCTGCCTCCCCAGTGCTGGGATTCAAGGTGTATGATACCATTGCCCAGCAGGATTCTTTTTCTTTAATCTCAAAATCTGAGAGTATTCTGAAAGCTCACACATATTTTGAGCTTGTAGATTAGCAGATAAGGATACTAGTACCAACTAAGATAGGACAGCTCTAACATAAGCCTAGTAAATTATAGTCCAAAACCCAGACTCTGCCTATTGTCTGTTTTCTCAGATTATTGGCAATCTGAGAATCATCTTTAGGTTTTGATATGATTCATACAAACCAATAGAACAGGCTTTCAGTCAAGTAAAATTTATACATGGAAGTTCAATTTTAGTGTTTACAGTAATTTTTTTTAACAATAGCCTCAATCAGTCATTTGTAAACATCTTTTGATTAGCTGTTCTCAAATTGTTCTTTTATTTCATGTGCCATCTTGGGGTTATTTTTCTGACCCAAGTTTTACTTTCAGTAGTCTCTGTAAAGTTAGATTAGTGATCACAAATTACTTAAACTGTTTTTGTCATGTAAAATGTTTCTTTCTCCTTTGCTTAGAACTGGTATCCTTTCTTGGTACAGTAGTTTGGTCTGGCATCTGTGCCCTTTCTGAATTTGTAGAACATCAGTTCTCATAGGTCTGCCTTTATGTGTGACTTGACCTTACTCTGCTGCAGCTTTCAAGATCCTTTGTTGTTGTTTTGTACATTTAGTATTTTGATTATCATGTGACATGGGACGTTCCTTTCTGGTCTGGTGTATTTGGTGTTCTGCATGCCTCTTGTACCTGGATAAATATCTCTTGCCTTAGATTTGGGGATTTTCAATCATTTATAATGCCTATGGATGTTTTTGTGCTAGAGAGATGTCAGAACTGGGCAGTTATGATGTAAACTATATAGTTTCTGCAAATGTTTTCCATCTGTTTCTTAAAAAGTAAGTTTGATATCTAAAGATATTTTATATTTATAAGACAAAAGATAATAACATAATCTGAGTAAAGATACATGAAATTGTTAATGATGTCAGTGATTCACCTCTGAGTGAAGTTATATTTAGACAAGATTTGCTTTGATTATTATATAAAAGAAGCCTCTCATTCTTCTAAATATTACTTATTTCTTATGGTGATATTCATTTTCCACAAAGAAGAATCTCACCTTAAGGAAGTACAGTATCAGTAAGCTTTAAAAATGGCCAAAGTCAGTAATGAAAAGGAGTAAATAGGACCTATACAGGTTCACATGTGTTACATGATTACGCAAACTTCTAACTATACTGTTAAAGAATAATGTATGTGATGTGAATCTCTTTTAAATATCACCAGTGGGGTTGTTATTAAACGATCCCATTATAAAAGGGCTAACTATAAAATGGAGTCCTGAATAGCAAGTAAGAGATACATTACAGTAAGAATGATACATTTTAATAATGCTAAAAATTAACAACTGTTTTTTATATAATTTACAATTTTTGGAACCTATTTCACCTGAGTTCAAATACTTAAACTTCATGCCCAAGTATTCCATTCTTTGCAAAACTCTGTATAGAATCACTTCTTAATAGTGGCCTATCTTATTCCTCCATAGTCTCATCCTGAGGATTATTACATGCAAGATTATTATGTTATTTGAGGCAAACTGATGGAAGGAAGTGAAGAATATAAGGGGCAGACAAAGAAATTGTGACATCCACCACTACAATGTCTTCATTCTTTTAAGATAATTTATTTTTATGTAAATTAGATTCCTAAATCATTAACTGATTTTTGTGTACTTTTGTTTTTATATTTGGCTAATCATTCCCAGTGAAATTAAACAGGTAACAGTATACTACCACAGTTTATTGCTTTCTTCTAAGCATCCTTTGAACCAATATCCCTCTTTTTTTTTTTTGTTTTTTTTTTTGTTTTTTGAGACAGGGTTTCTCTGTGTAGCTTTGGAGCCTATCCTGGCACTTGCTCTGGAGGCCAGGCTGCCCTTGAACTCACAGAGATCCACCTGCCTCTGCTTCTGCCTCGGCCTCCCATGTGCTGGGATTAAAGGCGTGCGCCACCAACGCCCGGCCTGGCAATTCTTAACTATGTGACATTAATAGTATTGGAAATTGAAAATTCTAGCATATTGGATAACTTCATTTTTATAAAGATTTATTTTAATTTTAGTTATGTGTATGTATGTGTGTCTGTGCACAAGAGTGCAGGTGCCAGTAGTAGTGGCCAGATGTACCTGATTCTCCTGGAGTTGGAGTCACAGGCAGCTGTGACTGGCCCAATATGGAAAGAACTAAACATGGGCCCTTTGCAAGAGCACTGAGCCATTTCTCTAGCCCTCTCCTTCATATTTAATAGCGGTTATGTTTTGCCATATTCTATTATAAGGAAATAACACTGACTAAATTATCAGAATCATCCCAAATAATATTGTCTTTGAATCCATTTGATTAATTTCTATCAGGTTTCTATTATGTAATAAAAAAATCACAAATACACTGTCACTTTAAAAAAGTGATACTATTTGAGTTCATGGTAATATATGTGTATATATATTTGTTGAAACTCTAATAAGCATTGTGTAAAAAGCAGTATCTAATATCTATCTAATATAGAGATTAATTCACATTATTGATTTCAGTTTGTAATGAAGAAAAGAATAATCTCAAATCTTTATACTGGGAATATGTCTCTAGTCAAATCTGTGTTTAGTATTAATATCAATAAAAAGTTTATTGCTATTTTGTTTTCAATTATACTAACATGTATCTTTTGAGACTATTTGGTTATTATAGCCTGTGTTCATTAGTAACAACATACATGCAAGTATCAGTTGGAAAGTAATTTCATCCACTAGTAAACTCTAATAAATTCAAATAAAATGAGCATTTAACAGGTTCACTCTGTTGTTTCCTTTGCCTCTTCTACAACTACACTATTGTGTTTAGCATGCTTACTCCCCACTCCCCCACCCCCCCACCCCTGCTCCACAGGGAAATCTTTTCAGTATTTAACAAACCAATATTCACTTATGTTTTAAGCTAAAGATTTGTATTTAGTGAATGATATTAAAAGGAATGTATACATGCAGACATGTATAGTTGTACATGTCTGCAGTCCAAGTGGGAGGCTAAAAGAGGAAGATTGATTTAGCTGAAGAGTCTTAAGCCAGTTTGCATGACACAGTGAAGGAAACACTACTTTGGGAGCTGTTGTTTAGATATGGTTTCTTCTCCCAAGAGTTCATATGTTATAGGCTTTTCACCAGTGGGTGACAATGGGTAATGATATGAAACTTCAAAAAGTGGACCTAGTTGGTGAGGTCCTTAGACTACGGATGTAGCTGCCCATGGAAGGGCTTAAAAATGCCTGTATATCCTTTTGGGTTCTCCCAAGATCAT